TGTATTTCTTTCGCTTCCCTCCTTGTTCTCCTGTGTGTCCAGAGGACTTTGCCCGAGCCGTTGCAAAACTGATTGACCCAGAATACAGCAACCATTTCAAAGGCGACATGCAAGACTTTATCAAGAAAAACGACCTTGGCACCACTGACATACCGGATAATATGCATGGCGTTATCAGGTGGGCCGTGGACAAAGCTGGAACGCGTGAAATCACCCTGGCTGAGTTGAAAAAGATTGCGCTACGCCTGAATCCCGACAAGAAGAAAAGGATTGAGAAAACATTCCAGTGAGTTAACCAAGAATGACTCATATCATTGTTATACGGTATTTTGGTGACATGGTCCGGGTCGGGGCCAGGGAGAAGGGATGGGGTGATGGGTGGGGGGGGGGGGGTTGTCACCGGTGGTCAAATTTGTTTGAGAAAGTGATGAACGGGCTGTGCTGGTATCCTGCCTACACCTTAGCTTGGCGTCTGAGCACTGAACCGCCTTTTCGCTTCCAGAGTTATGGCCAGGTCAAAATAGTAGAGAGGAGGGGGGGGGGGGGGGAGGGGACAGGGAAAACAGTTACCCCGTAACCGATTTTCCCATTTTTCAAATAACTGTCTTGCAACGCTAAATGCAACGTACGGAGCGAACGCCTGCCAGAATGGCATGAAAAAACACAAATAATCGGAGAATGAGGAGGGGCAGCACTTTTTCACTGAAGGGTGAGCAAACAGAATAGGCGGGGGGGGGCTGTGTCCCCCAACCCCCCCCCCCCCCCTCTCGCTACAGCCCCGCGCTTCCGCGGGACCCCACCACCCATGAGCAGCGGTCAGATGCAGTTCCTCAACAGTGGGAAGGATAGATGAAATCCACCTACCAGAGGCCAAAGCCGAAATCCCATTTGCCACAACCAAGTTTTTCTCAAGCCAGACCACAAGTTCCTAATTCACAGTGAGTCGCACCTAGGCTGGGAAAAAACCTTCCGCTTCCAAGGATTACCTGAACTGGCAAAATTATAGATTTCGAATAGAGGGCGGGGACCTAACTTGGAGATGAAACCGTCTTTCCTTCTAAAAATTTCTCCCCCCCCCTCCCCCTCTGTCTCTGCCTTTCTTTTTATTGCAGAATACCATATCTGTCGGCCTGATGGTGTGTCTGCGTGTCAATCTCTTACCCTCTCTGCTATTTTTCCCCTCTCTCCTTCTCTCTCTATCTCTCATTCTCTTTCTCTCTCTCTCTCTCTCTTTCTCTCTCCCTCTCTCTCTCTCTCTCTCTCTCTCTCTCTCTCTCTCTCTCTCTCTCTCTTTCTCTCTCCCTCTCTTTGTCTCTCTCTCTCTCTCGCTCTCTCTCACTCTTTCTCTCTCTCTCTTTCTCTCTCCCTCTCTTTGTCTCTCTCTCTCTCACTCTTTCTCTCTCTCTCTCTTTCTCTCTCCCTCTCTTTGTCTCTCTCTCTCTCGCTCTCTCTCACTCTTTCTCTCTCTCTTGTTATTTGTCCTTGTTACAGTGATGAAACATGGTGAAGCGTCATCTTGAAGCTGCCCTGCCCAGCAGTGGCCTCTATTCGTTCCTGGCTTAACTGTCAACTGTCTACATTCTACTGGTAGAGAGTCACTCGACAGCAGAACACCTCAAGCATCTGAAGACCATCTTCCATCACTTGGCAGAGTATGGTTTGGCGGTCATTGTCAGCAAGTTTGTCTTCATGCAGCCCTCCGTGACACTCCTGGGTCACAATGTCAAAGCCACTGCCGGCGGTGGCATTGAGACACTGGCAGAGAAGGTCAAGGTCATGGTGGACTACCCTGCTCCAGACACTCACTCTGCTCTCTACCTCGCTTTCTGGGTTTGGTAAATCTCTACCGACGCTTCATCCCGGATTGTGCATGCATTCTTCAGCCGCTCTCGTATTTGTTAGCAGGCCCTCAATCTCCCATGCACCTTTGTCGCGAACGTAGCAAATACATGAAAATAAATTCGGAATAACTAATTTGTATTTTGCATTACATGACGATGATTAACATTAGTGTTTTTGTATATACCATGACAATGATTTTGCTCTCTTACTCTCTCTTACATTGTGGCTGATTCCACGCTTGGGTTAGCAGAATTCTGGTTCCCTATCTTCATTTCTAAGAATTGACTCCATTCCACTTCAAAGTAGCTTCGAAGGTAGTCTTCATTTCTCTAGTCTTTGCATTTCGTTCTCAAACAAATTCTTTGTTAAGTTTTCGTACCGTGTCTAGTCTCGCGCTCTTGATTTGTTTTGCTCGCGCGTGACTTTCCTTTCTGTTTTTTTTTGTTATGCATGACCCTGATGACGTATTGGTATGATGTATATGTGCACTTGATCACTTGCCTACGTGACTACGTGTTCACTAACTACAGCCAGTACTAGGCTAGTGTACTTTAGCTGTAGGGTAGTGTACTTTAGCTGTAGGCTAGTGTACTTTAGCTGTAGGCTAGTGCACTTTAGCTGTAGGCTAGTGCACTTTAGCTGTAGGCTAGTGTACTTTAGCTGTAGGCTAGTGTACTTTAGCGATTCGCTCTCCTTAATACTATTTCTTCTGCGTTTCTATTTTGCACTAGTTCCTTTTTCCACCATTCCACGTCAATGAAAGTTGTGGTCGCCATTTTAATGCATGATCGTTGTGCACAGATGCATGTGGATGCAGCTGCCCTGTTTCCTTTACTTTTGAATCTTTATTGAGAAAGAACCTTTCCTAATCATAAATGAAGAAACATTGTTTGTAAATTTGTTCCTTGGCTCACCATCTGAGTTCTTAAAGCTATTATTCATTTTCTGCTGCCCCCGGTTATTTCTTTTATTAGTAATATTACTTTCTTTGTGCCTAAGGCGAGTGTTTGGCCATGATCAGTATACTTCTATCGATTTCATTCTCACCAAATATAACCTGTATACTTTCTCTCGCCGTGTAAACTTGAAGCTGTTTGTGTTTGTTTTTAGGTGTCTATCTCGTTGCACCAGTCCTCTTTTAAGCACGATATTTACCCCGCGCTCTGCATCGTGCCGCACAAATGCTGCTACCCGCGGTCAAGCTTCAGCTGCTCTGAACCTACCCAGAGCTACGTCTCGTTACGGCCTGAATTCTATTTCATTTTTGGCAGCAGACAGATGGAACATGCTTTCACCTGGATGTCGTCAAGCTAAGCCCCTTTCTGCATTTGTCACAAGCACCAAGTCATTCCTAGGGTTCCCAGTAAAAAGGCAACGCCTGTTGGGAGTTCCCTAGTAAAATAATAAATTCTACTACTGCTACTACTACTCTTTGCCTTGGCTTTCTTGTTATTGGTCAACTTGCCCGTTAGAATCTGCGAAGTAAAATAAACAACAACAACAACAACAACAACAACAACAACAACAACAACAACAACAACAACAAATTAATAGATAGGTTCCGGGTATGATTTTCCTTGCCAAGCTCCGTATGGACGCTACGGATATTTTCCACGCGTACTTCAGACGATTTTTCGGCACGGGGAATCCACGTGGACTGGCTTTCATACGAACCATGGTACCATGGTTCGTATGAACATTTTGCGTCATCGAATGCAGAAAGATTTTTGTGTACAAATTAGGCACGAGAAACATCGATTTTCCGCGGGAAGTTTTGATTTCGGTACAAATTTTCAAATTAAAATGCAAAGAGTGGGGATATGACGTGTTTGCTATCGTAACCTAGGCAATGCAGGCAAACACATAAGTTCCGTACTGCGGTGTATTTTACTGCTCGAAAACGACTTATAAAAATTCCGTAGCGCCTCTACGAATTTTGACACGAAAAATCGTACTCCAGAACCTCTCTAATGCCGTTCATGTCTGTTGGTTGGAGATGCAATGATGTTGCGAGTCACGACATGAAAATTGGGTGCAAAAACCCCATTGCCTCGACGGAATAAGGAACGTCTGGGTTAGTCAAAGCAGAGTCAGACGCCAATAGTGATACTGGTAAGTTGAAAATGGATACGGTCACCCTACCGGCGCAACTGATTTCCGTGAGCTGCTCGCTTCTCGCTCCACATAATTATACTGGCATTGACTACAACGCACAGCAACTTGCGGTACGGGGGAGTGCCGGCCAGCGGAGTGAGAGGCTACGGAAAGAAATACGTAGACACTGCCGGAACAGAATGTTGGCGGAGCCAAGTATCTACGAGACAGGATTCAGGGTCGGCCGGGTAGACACTGCCGAAGCAGAATGTTGGCGGAGCCAAGTATCTACAAGAGTCTGCGTCCGAGGGACGGCGACCGAGGGCCCTGAGTAGCCGGAAATGAGCGTGGCCAACACCCCGTTTAGTCACTTTATCAAAGCAAATTAGTAATGAGAAATGGGAGGTGGGAGGGTGAAACACTACGAGCAAGCAAGAATGATCGCCGCACAGAACGGATCGAAAATATATAGCACAGCAAACTCTAGCAAGACATGCAACGATACATGTTACCCACTTTGAGCTACAAGCAAGCGTCATCAGCACAGATTGAGCGGTAGCACAAAGCTGAATGCACCCATTAATCTGCATTATCACCATAATGCTAAATTAACTACAACACACAGCAACTTGCCGTACGGGGGAGTGCCGGCCAGCGGAGTGAGAGGCTACGGAAAGAAATACGTAGACACTGCAGGAGCAGAATGTTGGCGGAGCCAAGTATCTACGAGAGAGGATTCAGGGTCGGCCGGGTAGACACAGCCAAAGCAGAATGTTGGCGGGGCCAAGTATCTACAAGAGTCTGCATCCGAGGGACGGCGACGGAGGGCCCTGAGTAGTCGGAAATGAGCGTGGCCCATAATGGCCGGCAATTCCCTCACCGAAGAAGCCACGAGCGCAGTTGTGCAAACAGCAGGGGAGCGAGAGGTCGCCCAGAGTGGAAAGTAAGAAGTAAGGTAGAGGCAATAATGGTTCGTGCATTGACTCAGCACGAAATATAGAATCAATGAGGCCATCGCCAAGAGTCCATGCAACACACACATGAATACAGGGCACACCACGCAATTAAATAGGCCCACTGTGAAGAGCCATAGAAACAGACAGCAGGTCCGACGGATCTGTGCGAATGTACCTCAGAACACAGTCACTTTGCCACCTACCCATAGCACGGATTTTCCACAAAGGAACGCCGTTTGCAACAGCCGTTGTCGCCGCACCAATCCTGAAGGAGTGGCCACTATATTCAGCCACATTACTCACCCCGGACAACTGCAGGAGGGCTCTCAGTTTAGCAGTGAAGCGACGGCGAGTCAGCGCTGACATAAACCGGAACAAGGGCTGCAACAACGGCGGCTTACTGCGTGACGAGTACTCCACCATGGCAACAACGGGACAATATTGTGGCGTTGCTGGCCCGATGTATAGGGTCATGCCTCTGGCAGACGGGTCCGTCTTGGACCGCTTCACAACAAACTCTAACGCGGGCTTACCACCATGGTACGCGATTTTCACACTATCACCGGCAGCATCAAATCTCGGGTCGAACGGTGCGTGATCGCTTACAGTAAACTCAGCGCATCGCAGGAAGCCGTGGAACGCCAACAGGATTGCGGCTTGCAGCATTACGCGATCGTCTGGAGTAGAAGAACGGGTTATTCCGCAACCGGTCCACAACAGACCGGATCAGATCACTTGTCAGTGGAAGACGAGTCATGGACGGAGCAGTGCCCTTCACTCTCTAATGCACTTAAGCACGCGCGGTAGCAAGGTAGCGCCTGTCGTAGGATCATCCATGCCACACTGGAGATGCAGATTACGAACGGCCGAGATGTAATTGGCCACTGTACCTGGCTTCACAGATCTCGCCAAGTAGGTCGCAAAGCTCGATAATATACTGTCTCTCGCCGGCAACGGGTCCCATCGGCACAACTGGCAGAACTCCCGGTAGCGTTGTTCTCAATAACGGTATGCTGCCCTGGTAGATGGCGCAATGGCAAGGGACGCGTATCGGGCTGTTTCGCTGCTTAGTCCCAGGAGGGAAGGGGCACTGTCGTGTCCGGTCCTGTCGAGCCCCGCGGGGCGATCATCCGAAATTCCTGCATTTTTAAACGAGAGAGGGCATCCGCAATTGCATTAGACTTGCCAAGCACATGACGAACTACGACACAGAAGTTGTGCCTTGCACACACAAAGAACAGTTTCCGGATAAGGGCCATCACAGGTGGAGACTTTGACGTGCCCGAAGCCAGGCAATCAACCACAGCCTGATTGTCGCAGTGGAATGCTATGCGAAACCGGCACCACATATGTCCCCACGTGGCACACGCGACGAGAATAGGAAACAGTTCCTTGTACTCAATGGACAAGTCTATGGTGTCTTGCTCCCAGCGGCTGTGCATCCACCTGCCCTCGTTGGCATAATAGGCGCCCCATCCAATGGTGCCACCAGCATCAGAGTATACTTGAAGTAGATCTAAGTCGGTACTGGAAGTCTCGGGTTGGTACAGGAAGAACCACTTACCATTCCAACTAGCTAAGAACTCCTGCCACCACAGAAGGTCCTTACGACAGTCACTGCTCAAGGTAATGCGGTAATGCCGAGGTACCTTGCTGAACTTCTTAGCGGTGTCCCATAATCTGCGCATAAACGTGCGGCCCGAAACAATCACCTGCGCAGCAAAAGAGAGCTTGCCCAAAAGAGAGACGAACTTTGCTGCGGGGATGGAGCGAGTTGAGCTAGCATCGAGGACGAGTTGTTTTATATCCGCTAGCTTGTCATCTGGTAGCCGAGCTTCGAACCGTTCGGAATTCAACGTGATGCCAAGGAATGTCAACTCCGTCATAGGGCCCTACAGCTTCTCCAACGCCAGGGGAACGCCGAGGTATGTGAAGGCTTCTTCAATAATAGAGCGTTGCATGGACGCGAGGGACAAGGAAGGCGCAGACACAGAGAGGTAGTCGTCCAGATAATGCATGATGATCGGAATGGCGAACTGGTGACGCAAAATCCACTCAACGGCTTCCGCAACCTGGTTGAAAATGAACGGGTTATAACGCAGACCAAACGGTAACACCTTCTCGAAATAGTACTGGTTCTGCCAATGAATGCCCAACAGCGGCCAGTCATCAGTGGAGACTGGAATGAGCCAGAACGCGTTGCGGATGTCGAGCTTCGTCAATAGGGCGCCGCGGCCCACTGACATGATGGCACGAACTGCATCGTCGACGTGGGTATTCTTCAAGCTGAACTTGTCCGCTGGTATGCCGTCATTTACGCTGGACCTTTCCGGTGCCGACAGATGGTGAATTACACGAAGACGACCGGTTTTCTTCGGAACAGTGCCAAGCCCACACGACTGCATGGGGCTAAATGGTGGCGTGGTAAATGGACCAGCTTTCATACCGTCCTTGCACCTGCTGGCTTCTCGCTCCACATATACTGGCACACACAGAGACAAAGACTTCAATAGCGACAACACACAAAGTTAAGGGTAGTTGGCCGCAGCCAGATGTAAACCGGATAACGAGTGAGGTATGGAAGCAAGGACTGAGAACAGAGTGTCTTAGATAGAATAGGCGCACCAGTGGATAGCAGAAATAGGCCATGATGCAGAACCACTTGGGACCGTCAGATTAGTTTTCCTGGACCGAGCCAGCTTGGAAAATAGACCTCGCGCAGACGGGCGCAGTTGTGAGGGAAAACAACGGGTGTATATCCCCAATGGCGATTAGGCATAATGTAGGCATGGCAAGCACATCACGGCAAAAAGTGATAAAAAAGCCAGCAATGATAATATGCACAGAAATGAAGGGTGGGAGGGCAGGGACACTGGTGAGACTCAAAACTGCTGAAGAAGTCAGGAAAAGAAGCGACAATAAAGAACACACCAGATGCCATATTTGCAGCTGAAAATGTTTCGCGAGAAATCATTTCTCGCCTATCTCGCTGCGCTCGGCCGGCGAGAAATACAACTTCAATGCATATTGCGAAATCTGCAACATGAGCAGCACGATGCGGACAGGTTTATTGCCTGGCACATGCCCCCGAATGAGGTACAAGACTTCCTGGTAAGCTTCGAGTGCATTGTCGAACGATTAGAAATCAATACAGGGTACCTCACTTCAAACTCTCCAACTACGGTCTTTTCGCTGCATAAGTTCACTTCACTTCCAAAAATAATAATAATAATAAATAATATTAGTCAACCTTGGATTATGCAAGCATCGCATATATCCACTCTCTTTGTTCAGTCAACCTTTGAGTATGCAAGCAACGCTTATATCCATTCTCTTTGTTCTACTTCGAACTATGATAAGTATGTCCGTTTGTTCAATAGATACCTCAGAGTAGTATTGGGTTTTGATAAGTTCACCAGTGATTCTCACATTCTTAGCCTTTACAGCCTTTACCATAATTTTTGGTGCGCGACAATTTGAAACTGTTTATTCTTTTGTTCCGGTTCATCCGTAGCGGAACCTGCAGCTCTTCGCTTCAAGCAATCTTTACCTGCAGGCTGCCGCTGCTATTGCTCTCACACCACTAGGGTCCAGCGGATAATGCCGGTATTATTTTCGGCATTATACGACTATCCGAGCATCAGAGCATTAGAAAGGAACAAAACGAGCATCATGTAAGGTTTGAGCGGTATAACGAGTTTCATAGTGGACAATATGGGGAAATAGCCTTTTTTGGTGTGGTAGTAGGTGGAAGCAAATTTTGTTGCTCCGCCAATCGGCTCCTTACTTTTGTTTTGTTTGTCGAGCACTGACCAAGGAAGCACAGCTATGGCGGACTCAACCCTAGACCTAGCCCTGATCGAGTTCAATGTGTTGCAGCAGGTAGCCAAGGACGCCCGAATTCCAGGATGGGACGACCTATCCAGGGCGGACCTCGTGTTCGCTCTCCGTAAGCAGGGCCAGGGAGCCAGCGCACCAGCCAGAGGAGCGCCATCTGAAACCGGTATGGTACCAATTGCATCAGAACTGTAGTCCGAGCACTTTCAAATGAGATTTCGCAACTACGAAATGTGATTGAAACAAGTAAGTCTTCGCAAGAAAACTTCGAAGCCCAATTGTCACGATTGCGGGAAGAGATGGGGAGCTCAAAAGTCAGCAAGTGCGAGCCCCGGGAGTGCCACTAACCACTCGGTACCAACCGAATACGTACGCTGCCACCCTTTCACGTGCATCTACTACAGAGCCCAATGTACAAGTAGGTCCAAATATGTACACTTCTACCATTCCTGGCGCATCCTCTACAGAGCCCATTGTACAAGTAGGTTCCCAGTACGCACCTCCCGCACCCAAACATGGCACGCGACTGACCAGCTCTGGCACTCCTGGTGACACTGACCGTAATGGTTGGCAGTATCTTCCACACCGACACATGGCTCGTGCTCCCGCACTGCAGCGTTCTATCACATCACAGTACAAAAAGCCGATGTCCAGTAAGCGAGGCAGCCTCCAGGGGGCAGAAAGGATCAAGCGGAAGTGCTTCTACCTCGGAAATGTCGATCCTGGGTGTGAGGCTGACTCTATCAGGGAGTGGTGCAAAAAGAAAGCAGTTGACGTCCTCAGTTGCTCAATTTCGGAGTCCAAGTACTTTGGTACTGCTTATGCTCACCTTGTTGTTCAGGCTGAGCATACTGACCAGGTTCTCGAAGAAGATTTCTGGCCAAGCAAAGTTTCCATCAGGGAATGGAGATTTGCATCTGACAGCACAACCTTGGATCAGTCTGCTAGTAACTAAACCATGCAATTGGACCCACACCCACCTTCCTCACTGAACCCACACGCACACCCATTCTTTCCTACCAGACACTCCCTTCCCACTCACCAGCATTCTTCACCACCCCAGCTCACACTCCTATCAACAAACTGTCGTTCCGTAGTAAATAAGTGTACAGAGCTTACTATTGCTGCTGAAGAGTGGCAGCCTGACATAATCTGCCTAACTGAAACCTGGCTCGACCCGAATATTGCACTTAAAATTACGCGTAATGACACCTTCCGGAGGGACAGGCCCCCTGCAGAGAATAAGTCCGGGACAAGTGCAAGAGGTTATGGTGGTGTCTCTATCCTTGTTCGACAGAATAAGTTTAAGTCTGTTGCCATGCGTCCCGATCTAGCTCGCGATGGGTGCGAAGCCGTTTGGGTTCAACTCCAGCCGTATCCGGCTGCAGCTGAGCCGATCCTCCTCTGCTGCAGTTATCGTCCACCTTCTGCTAAGCCGACAGATATAGCAAGGTACTGCCAGACTGTCGAAGACGTACTCATTACTCTTCCTCTTTCATCTTCTCACGTTATCTTGACCGGTGATTTTAACAGCAAGCACACGTCATGGTGTTCGACAGATTCCACCAATACTGCCGGTGCTGAATTGTATCGCACGCTCAGTCCATTTGGTCTTCACCAACTCGTCAACACATGTACATACACGTCACCCTCTGGTATCCAAGCCTGCTTGGATTTGGTATTTAGTAACCGTGCCAATCTCTCGTCTTGCGTCGAAACTGACTGCCCTCTGGGTGCCTCAGACCATGCCATTGTGTACTGCCAGTTCGATATCCCCCTGCCTCAGTCTCCCCGCGACATAACGTCTCAAGCTCAGGAGCCTAACCCTATGTCTTTCGATCTCCGACACGTCACACCTGCTGTGTGGGAAGCAGTCAATGCAGACTTAGACTCAGTACCTTGGAACTCATTAATATCCTCAGACGTGGACAGTGCACTTAGTAACCTGCACAGTGTCCTGCAGACTGTGCTGTCCAAGTATGTTCCCCTTCATAGCTCCCGCAAACCAAATCGAACTCCCTCAACCCCAGGGTCTACACGCAAATATCATCCATGGGTTTCCACTGAAGTACGCAAGGCTATCAAGTTGAAACGTGACCTATTCAGCCTCTCCAAGAAACTCCCTACGGACTACAACCTATCAGCATATAAGGCACAGCGGAACCAGGTGCCCGCTGGTGCCACCGCCAGTACATTCGTTCAATCAAAACAACACTTACCTCAGGCAGCACTACGCTTCACCAGTTTGTCCGCAGTCAGCGATCGCACAAAGTAAAACCTGGCATCCCTGACATTGCAAGCCCTGATGGGCTGCTGGTGTCCGACAGCTTCCAAAAAGCAACCATCCTCAACAAGCAGTTTACCTCTGTCGCGGTGCCTGATGACCCACGTTTAGTAATACCCCCTCTCCAATATGACACTCGTCTTACTCGCCAATTCACCCGCGTTCATATCACTACAGCAGATGTTCGTGAAGCCATCTCAAACCTGAAATCTGGGAAAGCGCCAGGGCTAGACGGTATCACGAACAATATGATAAAGGAGCTAGCTCCTGCGATTTCTTTTCCACTTAGCCGCCTATTTAACCTCTCCTTTAGGCCGTCATCACACCACGTTCTCCGACTCCCGTTTACGTCTACGTCTATGGTGAAAAAACCAAAACGGGTGGTCGTGTCATCAGACAGGCACAGTGCTTGACGCGTACACGCAGTCAGGTTTTTGGAGAAATTTGAACCCACGTACATCGAAGTACAGGGTCACTCGGAAAAAGGCTGGGGTAGATACGCACGTTCATACAAAAAGTCGTATACCCCCCCTCTCCATACCACGTCTACGTCTCCCGTTTCCTCTGCTCCCGTTTTCACCCCGTATACGGATCATCATGACAACCGACCAAAAACTCCTTACGTGGACGTAGACGCAGCGCTTTGTACCATGGTGTGATGACAGCCTTACCACAGGCAAGTTCCCTACTGACTGGAAACTGGCTAAAATTGTGCCTATTTACAAGTGTAATGGCAGCAAATCTCAAGCTAGTAACTATCGCCCA